CCGATCCCACCCCCGCCCTTTCCTCCCGCATAAAAAGAGCCCGTCGCGAAAAGAGTGGCAGGCCAGCGATGCGATCACCCCCTCCCGCCTGTTCCTTCTCGCGCATGGAGTAGGTTTAAAAAAAAACCCCTCTGGAAAAGAGAAAATAGTATTCAAAGTGCAGCTGAAAATCATGGTTAATACCTATGCAAATAGGTGAGTCAGATACTTGAATCGATGTCTTACTGGGATTTTTGTTCTGTAATGTCCGCTAGGGCAATACTCAGAGATCTGACAAGATGGAACCTGATCAGGACTGGACAAGTGTCTATCCAACTGCAGCTTCTTTTAAACCTTCTGCCGTGCCGCTTCCCATTCGGATGGGCTACCCAGTCAAAGGAGGTGCACCTCTTGCGAAAGAAGGCAACTTGGAACTTTTGAAGGTGAGATTGAGGGATGACTACCTCAACATCCATATCCATATCCTGGGTCTTTTAGGAAGCATTCTGGGACCTTGGCAGAACAAGTCCTTAGAACCAAGTATTATAATTACATGAGAAATATACCCTGCTCTTAAGATCACTGCAGATTTATTGTAAGTATTAGCACTGATTTAGGAACCAACCATTCTGGGCCGTAATCTGGAATACTGGGTAGTTCTGCTTGGGTGAAAAAAGCTGGAAACTTGTTCCTTTAAATTGTTTGGAAGGTTTGTGACAGGAGCGTGTTCTACTTCAGGGCTGTCACTCGTGGGCCGGATGCATCATGCGCTGGCCACGCCCACACCCCATTTAGCGAAAGGGAGTAAAAGTTCCAATACGTCATGTGGTGCCACTGTGACAAGGCAGGTTTGACACCCTGTTCTACTTGAATTGCCATGGGGAAAAAAGCTTAATATCACATGAATTTAATCTGAAGACCCAGATTAAAGTAAATCTGAGTTACTTTGAGCCAGATTTACTCAATCAACTTCATCTCTGTTGTGATGATCAGAGCGGCAGCCAGCTACCTTACTCCTAAGAGTCCTAGTAGGAGAAATGGATCCAACACATAATAATCCTTAAAAAAAATAAGCTTCCACTGAGGGCATGACTGGCTGAAGACGTCTGTGAACTACAGGCATGACATTGAAGCATTAATTGACAGCCAGAGGTTAGATCCGCACCCTGAGCAAAGGGAGTTGTCCTCGGATCGAGGGGAAATCTGGAGATTGCCCATTTGATTCTGCAAGGTGGCTCCTCAGGATGTTCGGGGGATCCAAAGGGATCCTGCTGCAAAATCTTTCAAGTCCCAAAGAAGTGTAACATGTAGTTTCTGTGTTACAAAAGGAGATTGCTAGTCGCTAGGAAAGGAAGCTCCCACACATTAAATTGGCTGAGAAAAATGGCTCTAGCTGAAACCAGAGTGTGAACTTGAGCCATTCAGTTTTATAAACAGAGTAGGAGGTGGGAAGGAAGAAGTTAATGGCGCAGTCAGAGTCTCATGGACAACTGTAGGTGTTGCGTTTGCAGCCTGAAGGAGCCAGGGATTGAACCCCACTCCCCCTGTACACCTTTGATGGCGAGCTCATGGCTGATTTTAATGAGACATACTTGTTTCAGATCCCCAATTTCTTGCATCTGACACCAGTTGCCATCAAGAAGCATTGTGCTGCTCTAAAAGGTCAGTCTTAAACATTTTTTCCCCAAAAAATGAAGCTTAGCAGAGACACCAGGAAACAGGTAGCTGTTTCAGATCTGTCTTACGTTAAATAAAATGCCGTACTTCTAGGGCTATAATAGGTTTTATTATACAGAGGATGTGAAGAAAAAACAAATCCTTAATAAATCACTTCTATTTAAATGAGTGACTTTTGGGATAGAAATATGAAGTGCTCTTTGTCAGAACAGAGATCATGCATAGTTCAGGATTGAGATATGTACCACGTGGTTATGATGGATGGATGGATGGGTAGACAGACAGACAGACAGACAGACATATATATACAAACATAGATACATATATAAATAGATGACAGGTAGATGGAAAGAGATAGATAGATGGATAGAGATAGATAGATAGATAGATGATAGATAGATGATAGACAAATGAACATAGATAGATATTAGATGATAGAGAGAGAGAGAGAGAGAGAGAGAGAGAGATGACATATAGACAGACGGACAGAGATATAGATGATAGACAAGTGGACATAGACATAGACAGACAGACAAATATACCAATTGACAAAGAGCCTCTTTGAACAAGACCTAAAATAAGATGGATGGACACACACACACACATATACACACACAAACATCAGAGCTGATATTCAGCCGGTTCTTATTGGTTTGCGTGAACCGGTCACAGCGGCTACTAGAGGCTCCGCCCACCCACCCCGACATATTGCACAACCTTCTGTGCATGCGCAGAAGGCAGTGCACATGAGAAGAAAGTGGTATGCGCGAGCAAAGCGAGTGCACACACTTGTGCATTCACATTTGCGAACCGGTAGCAAAGATAAATTAATCCCACCACTGATATACATGCGCGCGTGCGCACACACACACACACACACATTTTAGAGTAAAAGAAGACACCTTGGAAGTGTGTGTATATTTGTGTGTATATTTGACCTAGAGGATGTCCTTTTGACATTTGTTTTCAGTTTTTTTATAAACCCTTGAACAAGTTGTAAAGTTGCCTTAGGGTTTATTGGGAATGACATTAGCCCTCGGTGAGTGCAGATTGTGGTTCTGTGTAATGATGACCATGGCTAAAACTATGTCTGTGCTTTCCCTTCCATCACGGGCACTTCAGATTTCTGCACAGAGTGGCCCTCTGCCTTGGATAGCGAAGAGAAATGTTTGCAGCACTTCCCCCTTGAAATCGGCACAAGTGACTACGTTTCCGCAGGGCCGTCTCTTCGTAACCCAAAAGCCAGAGTGGTGACCCTGACAGTAAGTGAGTTTAGGTTTCCTAAAATGGGTTCAACTGTTTTGATTGCAAGACACATAAAACGTGATGGTGTTAATCATGATTAAGGTGCGTCTTATACTCTGAAAAATACGGTAACTGCAGCAGATAAATACATCTTCTTGCTGATTCAAATGAGGTACAGAATAAATATTTTGGGAGGACAGAAAATGGGCTGGAAAAAAGGACACACCTCTTGCTGGTACTCAGCCATTTGTCCCTGTTCCCCCCTCCTCCCCCTTATGTTGTTTATAAACAATTAAAAAAATATTTTAAAAAGCCTGCACACTGCCAAGCTATCTGAATGTCTCTTATTACTCCCTATAAGATGCTTTCTAGAGCTTTTTTCTTCCTTTCCTGGATCTTTTCAGCGTCAGCAATGTTGTGATTTGTGCTTGATTTGGTTTTCAGCATTTTAACTTGGCATCTTTTGTTGTTCTACTAAGAAAGTTAAAAATGCTGCAGAGCAAATAAAGCACAAACGGCAACATTACTTTCAATGTTGAAGCAGGACAGAGTGGCAGGATATACTGTGTTTTTCAGAGTATAAGACGCACCAAGATTTTGAAGAGGTGAATTAAAAAAACCAAAAACCATTCACGAAAATGGGCCCATTTTTGGTCAAAAAATGGGCACGCATAGCCTTTAGGAGGCTTATAGAGTGCTCTTGGGGGCTTGGGGGGGGGAATAAAAACAAGCAAAAAGCTGCCTATTTTTCACTCATTTTTGCCCTGTAAGTCTGTTCCCAAACTTCTGGGTTGCTCATAGGGTCATTTTTCGTCCTCCGGAGGGCCTCCAGGGGGGGTGGGGAAGGCTGTTTTTGCCCTTCCCAGGTTCCTAAAAAGCTCTGGAGACCGGGGAGGGCAAAAAACGGGTCTATTGTGTGCCAAAAGCGGGGTTGGGGTGGGGGACACGTGCCTAGAATTATGGTTGGGCACGCCCTGCACTCCCCCTGCTTTTGGCACACGATGGAAAAAAGGTTAGCCATCACAGATCTAGCCCCTCCCATTTGTAAATAGATACGTTGTGTGTTTCAGTGCAGTTAGCCCAGATACGTTTGGACACGTTTGCCGTATGGACAATAGCCGATTACCTTACCGATCGATTAACTCACTGCAACCGGATGGGTGGAAAATCGCACGAAATGCCCCAAAGAAAACGTGGATATCCCAAGTAGCTCACGATCTTCAACCACTCCATTTTTCGATAACCGATGCCCAACAAGCCGCCCTAAATCGGGATCAATGGCGTGCTGTAATCCGTGGCGTCCTGCCCCTGGCCTTCACAATGCAACTGTCACTGCCTTATGGACGTTGACATTTACAAAGATTATGTCCAAGTTAAGTCCAGTGCAGTTACTCTTTTGACATTCAGAGTTGCTCATAGCTCGATTTCCCCCTCCCAGGTTAAACTGTCAGGTCTCAACTTGGACGACCATGCAAAGAAGAAGTTCATCAAACTTGTAGGCGAGCGATACTGTGGGAAGACAGATTCCGTTACTATCACAACAGACAGGTAACGCAATGGCAGAACTTTCTGTTGGCCCAAACCGGCAATATTCAACATAACTGCCCAGCTAAACTCTTTTCCTGGGGTTTAAAAACTGCTCGATCAAATTCTAAGATTTCAAATTATTTTTTGTGGTTGGTAATCCAGTCGAGCCTGTTGTGGGTGCAAAATGTGACTTCACTTCATCATTTTCAGATTCTGTTTTATTTTAAGACTGGCAAACAGACTTAGCGTGTTATTCATATGCTATAACATGGGGTTGCTCATTTTGGCGCCTTCCAGTTGCTGGTTGGGAATGCTGGAATTTGGTATAGTTTACTTCTTTTCGAGCCTTAGTGGTGCAGTAGTTAGAATGCAGTATTTGCGGACTATTTCACTGCCCACTGATAGCAGTTCAATCCTGACCAGCACAAGGCTGACTCAGCCTTCCATCCTTCCGATGTCGGTAAAATGAGGACCCAGATTGTTGGGGGCCACAGGCTGACTCTAAACCGCTTAGAGAGGGCTGTAAAGCACTGTGATATAATAAGTGCTATTGCTACTGCTATATTTCTCTTGATTTTCAGATGTCCTCTAAGAAAGCAAAACTATGATTATGCAATGTACCTTCTAACGGTTTTATTCCATGAATCGTGGGTAAGAATATTTGCTTATTGATTCTGTATTGTTTGACTATTCAACAGATCCCACATATTGACAAGGAAAAAGTCACAACAATCCCATTCTTATAAGTTTCCTTCCTGGCCAGATAGAACATAGTAAACGATATAGTAAAATGGGCTTTAATCTTTCTAAAATGCCCAGATCAGAAATCACAGGCATTATCTACATTCTGAGAGAGCGGAATGATTCATTAGCGTGCGTGATAAGTACACAACCTTTTCTTTTAGAAAGTTACATCTTTCCAAAGCATGCAAATAATAGGCCCGTCAATTAAATAAGCAAAGTACCTAATAAATGTGAATGTAAGGTAGTCCTCGCCTTTAGGCCACAACTGAGACCAGAATTTCAAGGTGGTTGTTAAGTGAGCCATGCTCAGTTTTACCACCTTTTTGATAAGGTTAAGCAAATTGCTCTAGTGTAGACCAAAATCACATGGTCATTAAGCAAATCTGACTTCTCCCGTTAAGTCAGATTGTGTGTGTGTGTGTGTGTGTGTGTATAACAGTGGTAAATGTGAGAATGCAAGAACCAGTCATAAGTTAAAGATTGCTTGTATCCATTTGTACGTCTGCATCCTGTGTCTTTTCTGCATGAGAGCCAAGGGGAGGTTCTTGCAAGTGCTTCGACAGCCCCAATGTAGAAATGGGACAATGCAGAGAATGGATATGTAACCCATTTATTCCTAGTCTCCACTTAATTTCCACTCTGTCTACCTTTTCCTATCTTACTCAATCTTAACATGTGACATTTAACATTTTAATATCTCATCTTTCTTACTGTCTTCTCCTAATGGCAGCATATGATTTATCAATTGTTTATAACTTAATGATTAATTATTGTAACTATGATCTATGATCTATCCTCGCTGTTTATATCTACATTGAGAGCTTATGTACTAGAGACAAATTCCTTGTGGTTCCAATCACACTTGGCCAATCAATAATTTTTTTCTGCTCTGCTCTGCTCTACTTTATTTCTATTCTCTGTTTCTATTCTCTAGTCTTCTCTTCTCTTCTAATTCTCTATTTCTTCTGTTCGTTTCTTTTCTACTCATTTCTATTCTGTTCATTTCTATTTTCTGTCCTGTCCCTGACTAACGAAGTAAGGATTGGGAATTAGGAAGCAGGGTTTGTGAGCCCAATTGGTGGTGGGTGGGATTTTCCTAAAATGGTCTCTTTTGGAACGCATCACATTCTCTGCCTGAACTTTGCACGAAAAGAGATCTCTGCATGTTTGGGCTAATCTTATCCTTACAGTGGATTCTCTGGATTTGCAAATACCTCGAAAGCAGTGTGAGAACCCCCTGCTGTAAAATGCCAGAATTGCTTCAACGGTGCTGCTGGCTCCCGTGGATTGGATTACTGTGTAGTCCATGCTAATTAAAAGCTGTAGCAATTTCAAAGCTTTAGATAATGAACTTTCCCTCATTACCAATGCACGGCAGTCTACTTACCTTTCTGCAGCATTCAAACACTGATTCTACACTGGCAGCTCAACAGTTGCGATTACTAATTCCAGAGTAGCACATGTGCGCTTGGCTCTAGTATTACCCACTGATGGAAGACTTGGGTATATGATATGCGAGTGCTTAGTGTGTATTGAGTACACCCAAGTCTCTTGCCCTTTTATTACCTTTCAGCTTCCACGTAAATACTTAATGGCCTCATCAGTTGTAATTGTCTTTGATTTCATGATAAATTAATGACCATCTGCAACACGTTGCTTTCTCTCTTTCGTTGGTGATCCGTCCAAAAGAAACCACATTTTTAAATAAACTTTTGGGCAACTGCCCTGAATTTTTATCCCCTGAATTTTAAGAGTTGTTCATCCCTAAGAATGTTGTTATTTGTCCTACCTGGATAGTAGCGTAGGAGAGAAACAGAAAAGATGGTATTTAAGTCATTGATTGGGCATAAAACTCATTAGGTGGAGTAAAACGCAGGATTAAAAAAACAACAACCCTGCAATGTAAAACTTCGTGGGAAGAGGTGAGATCAATGACAGATGAGAATAACCCCTGATATTAGATCATCTTTGGTTGCTATCGTCACAGTCAGATCAACAGAGTTGGAAGGGACCTTGTAGGTTATCTAGTCCAACTTCCTGCCCAAGCAGGAGATCCTACCATTTCTGACAAATGGCAGTCCAGTCTCTCCTTGAAAGCTTCCAGTGGTGAAGCTCCCACAACTTCCGAAGGCAACTTCTGATCCATGGGTGGATTGCTCTTATTGGCAGAAAATGTCTCCTCATTTCCAGGTTGAATCTCTCCTTGTTCGGTTTCCATCCATTATTCCTCGTCTGGCCTTCAGTTGCTTTGGAAATCAGGTTGATCCCTCCTCTCTGTGGCAGCCCCTCAGATATTGGAAGACTGCTATCATGTCTCCCCTGGTCCTTTTCTTCACTAGACTAGCCGTGCCCAGTTCCCGCAACCGTTCATCGTATATTTTAGCCTCTAATCCTCTGTCACTTGGGGGAGCAGGACAGATCTTTCCATTTTTTTCCTTGTTTCTCATCTTAAGCAGTTGAATGATGCTTGTCTGTTCTTGGGGTTCGCTGGAGAAGAGCAGCAGTATTGACATGTGCATAAGGACCCATTCTCGGCATCTTATGTACTTGTGTGTGATGTCAGAACCCAAGCATGAAAGGGGAGAACTTGCATTGTCATGTTATTAGTGCTTATTTCGCCGTTTTGACTTCATAGTTAGGAACGGACCCCTACATTTTCTCAGAAGCTTTGCCAGTTGGCAAGCTTAACAGCTCTTATGGAAAAGAACTAGCAAATAAATTGTGAATTATTTGTTTATTGCATTTATAGAAACAATGTGACTCTGGGAAGTATGTAACTGAAACAATAACAAAAAGAAAAATACTATTTGTTAAAATAATTGGATTTTTGCCTGTCATGGACCTGCAAGCATAAAAATAAATCAAATTTAAAAGCATCCAAAGTCAAGGCAAAACAATCAAGTCACTCGAGTGCGTCACAAAATTCTAAATCCAGATGTTGTGTTATGATGTGGAATTGGCCTGCCTTCTTTCAAGAAGCAGGAGACTTCCTAAAATGCCTCCCTCCCATTTCTAAATGGGACATGGATTTTTGAATGTTGTACTTTGCAAAAATAAGGCCAGTGAGCTCAAAGGGATGGCTGGTACTTTCAGGTCCTAGATGACATCTAGAAGTGTTATTTTTGAATCCTGGAACTGGTTTGATCATAATCCAAATTAGGGAAAGATCATGTAGTGATCCAGCGTCAGGCCAGATCACTTAGAAGACAAGCAAAACAAATTCCGGAGCAGCTAACAGTGCTTCCATTTTAGTGGAAGACGGCTTTGGTTACATGATCCCCTTCAGAGATTCTACCGTTATTCGCTGAAAATGAGCCCTAACCAGAAAATGAACCCTAGCATGATTTTTTCCAGAATGCTCATAATATAAGCCTGTTCTGATGCCCTCCTCCATCCAGTAACGACTGCCGAGACAAGCTTGACTGGAATGTCCTTTAATAGCAAAACATCAAAACCTCGGTGGCTGAAAGCCAAGCATAACAAACAAATAAGGACCTTGGCAGAAACTCAGACAAACTCAGGCAGCAATAAGCCCACATAAGGAGCAATCCAGCCTGCCAAGCTCCCTGTACTGTCCTCCGACATTCAATCCTGCATTGACTTTTGCAAAGAGGGCCGTGTGCCCAAGTAGTGTTTTATAGTCTGGAGAGGAGCCTAATGACCCCCAGCTGAGTACAATCACCTCCTGTAATTGCATATTTTTTTCCTGACGCCTAATAGCCCTTTGATGGCGTGCATCCAGGAACAACTCACTAC